TATGTACCTTTCCATCCAAATCAATCATATCATCAATCGGTAAGAAAGATTATAAATTTAGAGAGAGATTTCTGTTCCATTCCATCCAACGATAATTTCAATCCCGCTTTATCTTCTTTCTCGCACATACTCGCTTGAAAATCTCGTTAATCGGTGTTGTTAGAAGTTTAGTGCATCGTATAAAAATTTTTCTGATAATTAATTCGAAGATTAAGATTAAACGAAAGAGTTCAATTATCATTTATTATTAAAACACAAATTTTTTATTGCGATCAATTGATAATATTGTACAAATCAAAATTTTTCACGACATTGATTTGTTCATTTTTTTTGGAACTTTTTTAATATGTCAATTTATTATTTTATAGTCATTATACATAGGTAATAATGCATTATTGATCGATTACTAATTATCATAAATATTCACCGATATGTTGTTTAATTGAAAACTAACCGTTTCGAAATATTTGATAAATTTATTCACTTGAGAAACCAAATTTCAACAATGTTTTTCTGACGTTCCATCTTACCAAACATTTTTCAATTAATGAAATGCGAACAAATGTAAAATTTGAACTGTCAAAGTTATTTTAAAAATTTCAAATACATTATTAAGAATTTACATTATTTGACGATATGACATTGATATTTGTGAAATTGTAAATATTCTTTAGAAAAATTCCCGAAAATTATTAATTTTTAAAACTATTTAAAATGTAAAAATGGTATTTTATTGTTGATGAAGTGCGAACAAACAGACAGAAAAAACAAGTTTTCTTCGTTTCTTTCTTTTATCGATAATTTTGGCAATTGGATAAGCATCTGAACCGAAACATTCGAAGTGTCGCATCAAAAAGATTGGCAAAGTGGTAGAATCAGACAATCCGATTAAGTTACGAACAATCAAACTACAGTACCATTTGTTACTTTTAGGATTTATTGGTTGAAAAAGAACGGATGTAATGATGAAAGCACCGTAATCTCTGATATCACTGATAAAATGTCGTTTTTTTTCCTTTTTTTTTTAAAAACTTAATTTAAATCTTATCAAATTTAAAAAATTTTTATCAACCAACAATTTTTTGTTCGAATTAAAATCAAATTTTGCCAAATCAAATAAACAATAATAAAATTAAATTTCATTTATAAGAAATTCTTTTGAAAAAAATCTATATATTTTTCGTCTTTAAATTTTTATTTCTTCGACTTTTTTTTTCGATGCATTTCATTGCAAATTTTAATATGCAAAATATTGAATGGCAATGATTAATTGGTACCAATCAATTTGAATTACCAAAAAAAAAAAACGAAGCTTAAAGCAACTAATAGTATTATCATTTCAAATGCACACTTTAAACATTTTTACAAAAAAAGAAAAAATAAAAGTGAACGAAATTAAAATAAGAAATAATTGAATTAATCTAATAAAGTATTTGCACAAATGAAAAAGGAATAATGGGAAATTTAAAAAAAAACCACTTTTACGTAATTTTACGTATTATTAAAAAAAATTAATTGAATGGATAGTAATAGAGAAAAAAAAATGGAAAATAGCAGATGGAAGTTATGTATACGGTATTTTCAATTCCATACTGTCGCATCCGTCTAATGCAGAAGAATATTTTGATTTAAGAAAATGCACATGCATGAGTGTGTGTGTATGTGTATGTGCATGTTATATGTGTGTTTGTTTGAAAAAAAGTACACCATTGTGTTTTTAATGATGGAAATTCAGTTGAAGAAATAGTGTTTTACAGATGGAATATTTCATTAATATATTATCAATTATACCATTTATCTTCAGATTGATAAAATGTATTTGTACATTTTAAACTGACATTTCAACCATCTAAATGATTATTCTAATTATAATAGCGATAATATTATCTTATATAAGCAGTAACTGATTTAAATAAATAAATATGCATGTTAATTTTAAATTTACAATCCAATTTAAATCGTTTTTTCTTAACATTCTCTTCTTTTAATCATATTTATTATTAAATAGCACACTTATTTTATAAAAAATGTAAGAAGAAAATAATTATGTCCATATCATTAACTGTTATTATAATTAAAATAATGAATTGAGAGTCGAATTAATATATCTTATAAAATACAATTTGAATTATCAGTAAAATCACTAATCTTGATAAATGCAAAAGGCAATATGAAGAAGCAAAATCATTTCATTAACTTCAAAAAAAAGATAAGGGAGAGAGAAGAAAGAGGAATAGAAAAAAAAACAAGAAACAAATCATAACATCCGGCATACGGTAAATTAAGTAAATTAAAAACAGCATTTTAATTACATAAGTAATCAGTATTGAATATACGTTTTAACAAAATATATTTTTCTAATAATTGATAAGAAAGAAAAACGATACCCATACATTGCATTTATTATGCATTCTAATTAAAATTATAAATTTCTAAGAAAACAAAAGAAAAAGAAAAATGCAAAATAAAGTATCACTAAATAATGTATTGATTACAACAACTAAATAATCGATAAATTTATACTTTTTTCCATTAATTTTTGCAAATGAATATTATTGGCAAATATCTGGCAAAAAAATAGTGATAAATTTTCAACGATAATTATGTTAATAAATAAGCAATTTAAAAAAATCACATTTTCCCTTATTCTTTCCGTTTCGCCCTCTTCCTCTCTCTCCCCTTCCGCTTTTTCCTATCGTTTTTTTTGTGTAATAATCTTTTAAATGAATAACCTTTGAACTGACAGAAATAAAACCAATTCAACAATTTAATAATTGGATTCTGGAGCCCTTTCTGTTGTTGAAAAATAAATTGAAAATGGTGAGACGAAAAGCTGGAAATTAGGTACGGTAGATTAAAATGAATTACAAAATTGTTATACAGTTTATTATGTAACTTAGCACTATTTCCCTTAATGAATCCTTTTTATATTGAAAATTTTAAAGAAAACGAATGAAAGAAAAGATAATAAAAGAAGAGACCCGCTATTTTTTGGTAAAATTTCAATGGAATATATTTCAAACTTTCATTTAACAAGCGATTTAAAAACAAAATTTGCAAAAAAAGGCTTATGTCAAAGCAAATAACAATTGTGCCATTATTTGTCTTCTTACCTTTTAGAAATCAAAAAATAAATAACAAGTGAAAAACTACAAAACATAAGCGATAAAAGCCGCTCAATTTTAATGCCATAATATTGTAGTTATTATCTAATTGATATGAAATATAAATATAGCCAGTACAATTTTGATCATAATAAAATGATAAAAATGATAATTTTAACATTTTTAATAAACGACTTTTATGGAAGTTTTCGGATCAAAAAAAAATTTTAAACTCAAATTTTAAAATAATCTACAAAGTTGAATAATCAATGCACGGAATTATGATTTTGAAATTATTTTAGTGGATATAAATTCACCGACAATTTCATCAATCAAAACAGTATGCAATTTCACCAAAACGTCATCAGATATTTCAAGACATAAGCACATAAATATTGGTTTTTCAATTAAAAAGCCATATAAATATTTTAAATAATTTTAGATAAACATAATTTTAGTTTAAATACACGTCTAACGACAAATATGCACCAATATGAAAAAAAAAAAAAAAAAACTAAATATCATTAAAAGATACAAATGGATATTTTGTAAAATACATTTAACCGATATTTTGATACTTTTTATAATTTTGTGATTTATTCTACTGATAAATTATTGTACATACATCAGGTTTGATGACATGTTTTTGACTTTTAAAATATCTTTTAATTCTCTATCATTCTATTAAATTTTTTTTAATAATGATAAAAAAAGCTAAATTGTACTTTTAGATTCTTTTTTGATTTCTTCTACTTTGTTAGTATTAGCATTCTGACTACTTGCATCATTATTGGTTGATAAACGATGTTTTTTAATTTTGGTACAGTCATCATCATCATCAGATACTTCGTAATCTGATTCGTCAGATGCACTCATTTTTTGTCCCGTACTATCTTTTGTATCAATTTCACGTTTTTGTTTACGATCTTTTGCACGACGATTTTTAAACCAAACCTATAAAAGAAATCAATATAATATTTAATTCTTAAAAAAAATATTTCTTTATTATTGTTTTTTTTTAAATTCATTTAATTCATAAATTTATTTCGCTTATTTGCACTGCAATTGATGTATTTAAAAATATTTACTTACTTCGTATGAAAATATTTCATATAAAAAAAATTGCTAATTTTCAATTTAAAAATGCATAGAATTTAGTAAATCATTTTGTTACATGTCATTAATAAGAAATAAGCTAATATTATTTATCATTATTAAATTGTAATTGCAATTCTAATAATGATAAACAAATCAATTACAGCTACCACCGTACTTATTATAATTTTTTATGATATTCTTTATCATCTATTCTCATTTATCGTTTTTATTAGTAAATTCAATTAGCAATCATTATCAATATTCCAATTTGTGTTTCAAAGCTAAACAGTGTATCATTAAGCCAAATTTTCCGCTTTATATTTAATCACATAATCATAATTTCGTCAAACAATGCATCGTCTTATTGCAAGATTGATATTGAGAGATCAGGTAAATTTGATAATATGATTTAATATTGGTATCAAGTTTTCATTCAATGGCATAAAATTATGAAAAATTGTTGCTTTAGATTATTCAAAACTAACAAAATTATTTTCCAATATAATTTTTAAACAAAATAATTCAAACGTTATTTTTCAACAAAATTTAAAATTATGATTATCTGTTGCATATGATAAATGTAAAAAGAACAAAGGAAAGAATTATAAAGAATTTTTATTATTAAAAATCTATCGAATAGAAAAAATGTAATAGAAATTTTAAGATTTAGGCAAATATTGGAATCATATAATATAAAAAAAATTTTAAAATAGATAAAAAAGATTTTTTTAAAAAAAATTTCAACTAAAATTCCATACCTCGACTCGTTCTTCTTTGAGGTCACACTGTACGGCAAGTTTTTCTCGTAGCATTACATCCGGATAATGGGTTCCTTTAAATGCATTTTCTAAAATTTGCAGTTGTTCTTCGCTAAAAATTGTTCGATGACGTCGTTTTCGTTTACCACCGTAATGAAATGGATGAAATGATGTGATAAAACCATTATTGATGTACGGAAAACCGGGATCTATAATGGCAAATTTAAAATTATTCAATTTCATTTTATGTTTTAATTTATTGTGATAGTATTAGCAAAATTTAGTTTGGTCGAACAAAATGATTTCATTCATGATTAATGGCGTAAACTAACGTGACACATAATGTTTAGCGCACAATTATGGTTGAGTGTTACAATCGTGTGCTAGCATTATCAAACATCTTATAGTGAGTGTATACACATCGATTAATGATTAATTGCTAAAATTTATTAAATAGACTAATAATCTATATGCTCTTATGCAATAATTTAAACTTATTTTCCTAATTCTTTTTATCAACTTTCTTACTTTCTATTACTCATTTTCATCAGAAAAGCACAATGTTTTATATATATCATTCTCAAGTTTAAGATCAAAAAAGTGATCACATTATGACGAAGTGATAGCAAGGATGGTAACTAATAATTATTTAATGTTTATTAATTAATAAATGATGTAAATGATAATATACTTACGAGGGTATGAGAAATGTGGTGGTATGGTAGGCCATGCAACAGTAGCAGCAGTGGCAGCAGCAACTGCAAAATCATTTGCTAACGGTAAAGGAGGTAACGGAGGTACTGGTACCCGTCTGGATAAAATACTTTCAATCGAAAAATTTGATACCGTTGAACTGAAGATAAAAAATTGATTCAAAAAATGTTCATTTTACAGTTGAAAGATTATTAGACGCTTGAATAATTAATTAAACTTGGTATCGAATTCCACCTGGTGTATTGTGAAGGAAATTAAAACAAAATACTCATGTTAATCTATTGTTTTCGAAAATCTTAAAAATTTCTTTTGTTTTAGAAAGAAAGAGGAAGGGAAAAAACAGAGTGATTATCATTAAGAGATGAAACTTTAATAAATGAGTTAGAAGTATACAAAAGTAAAACATCATTAAATTTTACTATTTAGTGGTAGAAATTTGGCAAATAAAATTAAAGGTAATAAAGTATCTTCAAGATCTGTTGAAATTTTAAAAATGAATATACTCAAAATTCACTTGCTGAATAGTATTCATTATAATTTATTAATTCTAGACTCGTCATTTAAGTACGATAATTTCAACATTTTTCATTTGGAAAATGATTTTATTGCTATAAAATTTCAATTTAAATTATCTAGCATTTGACGTTGTATTAATGTTAACTAACCAATATTTAAAATCATTTAAATTTGCAATAAATGAAGTTAGATTTGCAGCAATAAACAAAGTTTATCTTTAACGTTCGTTGAAATTTTACAAAATAATATATTTAAAATTTGCACTACAGAATATTATTTTTCGAATTTTTTGTATAAAAGATTATTACAGTAAATTAGAAACTTATAATAACGATTTATAGATTATTAGAAAAACGAAAAAATAACAAAAACTCTTCGTTAATTTTTCTAACATTAAATTGCCGATCATAGATGTAATATCGATTTTTGTCAACATAAATTTATGGTTCCACCTACCGTATACTTGCTCTTCTGGCATGATAATATTTTGCAATACTTAATTTTATCACAACAGTCATTAATAATTTCATGAAAACTCTTTTACAGTTCTGCTTATTTATATGGAGGGAAAAAATACGTGAAAAAACGAATGAAAAATGCATTTTTTTAAGTTTTTAAGAGATCAATGAAGAATTTAGTGATATAACTGTTAAGCCAAGAAGTTGAGTAACACTCAAAATTAGTTTTTACCCATTGAATCATCACGGAAGATTCATATAAAACCAGACAGGTTTGGACATTTTTCAAACAAAAAAGACGAAATTACATTAACTACGGGTAAAACTTTAAAAATTCAATGAATGACAAACATTAAACGATTTTTTTCAATTTTTTCAACATTTTTAAAATGGAAGATTTTTAAAAAAAAGAAAAAAAATGCGAAATAAGAAAATTTGATGACATGAAAGTGATGAGCCAAAAGTAGATGCGCAAAAGAATTAGCAAAAAAAGTAAAAAATAATTTGCTATTACTAAAAATGTATTAACCAATTTCTTAACTTTTCAATTTTGTACCGACAATTCTATTAAAATTAAATTTGTTGGCATTTTCGATGAAAAAATCATTCCTTCATTTTTATTAGACCTCAAAAATAATAATGTTTTTTTTTTTACCAAATTAATAAATAGATGAGATTGTTTGCCGCATATGCATTATTCTAATAGTGATTATATATCGTGATTAATATAATTGAAATAAATAAATATAAAAAAATATGCCTATATATGTATATGTGGTTGTGACAATATTGATAAAAGGTCGTAATTAACTGCTGCACAAAGAAGTTGTATTAAAAACGCTAATAATGATAATAATGACTATATATTGTGATTAATTTAGTTAAATATTATTAAATTAAAAAATATATAATTACCTGGATGCTGTTGGCACTTGTGACAAACATGTGCGAAAATGTGTTGATGCTGGTGAAACGGTAGTGGCGGCATAAAAATATGGTGGCGGATATGGAAGTGACATAGCAATATCAAGGAATCATCCAAATGATAGTGATGACACGATGGTGATTGGATGATTTGATAATAAAAGCATTCGAAAATTGAAAGAGAAAAAAAAATTTTTTTTCTTGTAAAATTTGATTAGAGCATAAAAGTACCTCTCAGTGAACATTTAATTCTCTCATCCGAACTACCGTCACCCTAACCTTTTTCACCTCACCCATTCCCCCTATCCCACCCATTTCAACATTTTCATTGGTTATTTACATATTTTGTCCCACCCATCCCTTCCTTATTCTCATTTGCTACACACATACACACATACACACACAAATATACACACACACACACACACACACACACACACACACACACACACACACACACACATACACACACATACATTCATACATTTAAACTCAGCAAACATTTCGTTTCAGCAACGACACTTCAAATGGGAATATGTTGTCTGTGTATAAATTTGATGTATTTAGATATTAGAAAAAGAAAATGGAAATGTAAGAGGGACGGGAAGATAAAGAAAGAATTCATATTCTTATAAGAAAAAAAAAATTTTAATCCGAAAAAATTTGGAAAAATATTAGCCTTTTTGATAGTTGGTTTACGGTAATACAAACTCCATAACAGACTTGCAGATAACTGATGTTTGGCTTTTATGACTGAAAAGACAATTTGCGAAATTTGAAAGGATTTTCTTTGCAAAATTTTTTTCCACAACTTTTGAAATTTAAAATTTACCTATTTTTATATTGACATAATTGTATTTTATCTCTTTGTCTTTTTTCTCTTACCTTCTCATTTTTCCTTTCCGTTCCTTTCAGTTTCTTCATATAAAAGTAATGAATGATATTGTTGATTGTTAAGTATCGCTGACATATCCCTAAAGTAAATGTGTTCGATTATGTTAACCGATGTGTAGTATCGTTTCTAAACAATGTTACACGTAACATACGTACAAAACAGATCAACATTAAATCGGCAAAAAAGAAAAAAAGCGATAGA